CATAAATGACCCCCATGCGACAATCTCAGCCAGTTTTCCAAGCCGCGTACTCGCCTCAAAGGCTATTGCAAGGCCGCCGTTCTTCTAAGCATTCGAGCAATTGCGAAGGCACCGCTACCTGTAGCCATTCTTGCAGACGAAATGAGCCTTAACAAGTCGCTGCTGGCCATCACAGCATCGGAGCCGAAGGTGCGTCTCAAGGAAGGAACAGTATTACAAAGTAGCACAAAAATAAATCATTGCTGCGTGGAATTACGAGCGGAATAATCATTTAGAAAGAGTATGATCTACAACCGTTTCCGCCAGCAGACCCTCTGCTAGACTTGAATCGGGACACAAGCCTCGGACCCTCGTCCTTGCAGTCAAGAACACGAACTTCGGCAGAATTCATTCAGGAGCAATTTTTTTACGTTCTAATCCTTTACCAATACGTCTTAGGAGATATGAAGGAAGTCAGTTCGCTACAGAACTGGAGGTCACGCTCCTCTATCTCGTTTCAGTCCAGGATTCGATTCGGATCTCGACGGAGCGTGATAAGGAGACTACTTCCTATTCCGAGCATCCTGAGAACTCTTAGGCCTTAGAATCGTTGCTGTTCTAGGAGGTGAAGTCCACTCACTATATGAATAACCTCACACGCGAACTTGTCTACAAGGTCATATGAACGCTCGACGTCAAGTCTGCACAGTCCCGGAGTAGAACGTCGACGCCAGCAAAGCCCTCTGGTTCTGCTCTTCCAGCGCAAGATTTTCATTCACAGATACTTCTTTGGGGTTTTTGGCGCACCGAACAGCGTGAACCTCCGACTCAGCTTGTGGGATAACGTCTTTGGACATTTGATGATGCGTTCGTCATCAGGCGAGCAGCCACCGTCCTCGATATGCCGGGCAACATCGACCACGTCTTAGGATTGCAAAATTGAAATCACGGTATTGAAGGATAAGTTTTAGGGATCTCCATTTTCAGAAAGAGGTCAATGAGCGCCGCGCAAGTACGCCACTTAGCGGTGCTGGGAATCGCTGCTCAAGCCTGCGTCTCATCCTTCTAATCGACACTACTTCTTCAACAAGTCTCAGCGGTAGATACAGTCGCCCTGAAGTAGTGGTGTCGCCAGAACGGCATTTCCTACAAGAAATTTTCTCAGGAGCAATTACTGCGATACTGTTGTCGGAACCAAGACGCCTCAGATGACGATGACGAAAATTAGGACCATAAAGTTGGCGATATGAATGACGACGAAGATGTCGTCGTCTACTCTAAACTGAGGGAGGTAAATGGTCTCCGAGTGTCTGCAGCAAGTGGTCAGAAGTAGAAGTCGGGCAATCTCAAGCCTGAGCAACTCCTCGAGGGGCCTGGGATTCAAGCGATCCTTCAGGCCATCCGGATCATTCTCGAAGAAACTCCAGGCGCGAGGATTGCGATTGTATCAAAGGTGCTCCGAGCACTCGATTGCCTGATTGCGGCAAACACATTATCGGAAGTCGAGGCAGGCGTCAGGGTACCTAAGGGGGAATGGGAGGGTGCCCAGCAGAGGTGCGTTCAATCTGTAGCGTGTATGTTGTTTAAATAAATAATGGCCCCCCCGGTAGATGCCTTCCCTTGTTCATACTGCAGTGTGTATGTTAAGTTGATAGCAAGTGCGCCCCTTCCTCTTAGATTTTGGTCTACTATGTTAGCAGAGCAGCCTTCCTTGAATAGAGGAGCAAGTCCAGCAGAGATCTTAAGGCTTAAGTAATCTATAGCATTATTAATAAAAATCGAAGAGGGAAAAAAGGGCACTTTGGTATACGTACTAACCACGCTCAACACCAGAGTTTGTGCAGCCAGCAGACTGACCCCCTAGGGGCATTACCCCCCTAAGGAGCAGCCCAACGGACCTCTGTCGTGCGCACCCCCCCTCCCGGGTAGGTATTATGCTGACCAGTGTTCACCACGCCATCCTGGGTAAGCAACTGTGGATAGAGGCGTCTGGCAGCCAGGCCATCGCCCGGCGCTATTGACAGCGCCAGCAAAACGTCTTCCAGTCGTACAAGATGAAAATAGCAAACTCATTAATGAAACACTGGGTGATTTGGTGCGCGGATCAGAAGAACACGGATGTGGAACAGGTCTCTCGAGAAATCGGATGAGACGACATCATGAGGGCGGCGGACTTTAGTGGTGCGGCCGGTGCATCAGGACTACAGTCCTGGCCCGTTATCCTTACAAGTTTGAGAAAAATGACGACTGTCCTGGGCATAGCTTCTCTTCTTACTCATAGCAGAACCGTAGTAGTATCATAGACGAGGGCAACGGGTGATTTCTTTTGGTAAAGAGGGAAAGGGTTTGCGATGCAAGGTGACACCAATGTCCTTTCCTTCTCGCTATGATGGGAGGGCGGCGAGTTCGGCTTGATGATACGTTGCGTAGTGAAGAAGGCCTTCAACGTTGAACCATGGACATCCGCCAGTATGCGAATAATGTCAGTGAATGAAGAGATGTTGATGCCTCTAGTCTCTCCACCGTTCATGTTAGTGCATCGCTGTCGACACTTCGAGCTCTTTCATGTGTTTCCCAGAGTCTCTCGGTTCTCGTCAGGGTCTACTTCCCTAAGTCGTTCGAGGACGGGAAACAAGCAGGTATACATCGTAGTCGCAGTACAAGCCTTGGTGCCTTCGCCCTCGACACCGTGCTGAGTCTGCGAGCGAGGGTGAAAGGGAATGCGCTCTATGCGATGCATGAGGCTGGGCTGAAATTGTTGAATCAGGTCGATTCCATTTCCTGGTGCTGAAAGGCCCTTTGACCAAGTGATAGTGGTGACGAACTCAATGCCATACACATTCTTGGAAATCAAAAACTCAACTCGGGTCGCCGAAGTCAGCCTCCGCAAATCCCTATCAGTCATGAATCTACAGTGACACTACTTTCGCCATCACTCTATTAATGTTGAGCTCCGCGTTTAGTTCTTATATATCTATACATATAACCTTCAACAAACTTATCCTTTATACCCTTGGCCTCATTACTAAAGCTACCAATCGTCAGTCTATTATACCTCCCTATATACACAAATAAAAGCCCGGAGCAACAAAGACAAAAACAATAACAAAGCTAAAAAAGGACAATAAAACAGCAGGGACAGCAGGGATAGTAGGAATAGCAAGAATAATAAGAACAGGAGGGACAGGAGGGATAGTAAGGACAATAAGTATAAGAGGGATAGTAAGTATAGTATAGATAAGTAAGGTATTATATAAGTAGTCGCGGCTGCTGATCTCCTTTCCTAAAATACATCTAGGGCAAAATAACCACTGTTACTGAAACTATTATTATCTAACGCAAAGAGAATCCCTAGTCCGACTCTTAGTGCAGAAGTTATCATGGACACAGATGCCGCCCTCTTGGAGCCCCTGTTCATTGGCCTAATCGGATCAGAGTCGTTAATGGCCGAAATAACAAGATCGTTGGAGACAAAGCAAGAAAGGATGGTCACGATGAGGCAAGACGATCTAAGGACAAGCTCGAACAGCGGCAATTTAGCCAAACCCGATGAGACAAGATGAAAAAATGCCCCGGTCATGCGTGACCAGGGATTAGAGAAGCAGCGCCCACGACTGGCCGCAGACAAGGATGTGGGGTCGAGCAACGGCAAGGTCACTGAAAATGGTTTGAGCCGTTTCCTGTGGACGAAAGTGTCTATGATGCGCGGGGATAATTAAGATACTAGAGTGGACGAGGCTGATGACAAGGCGTAGTCTTATTGCTTGGCTACTTTTTGCGGAGAGAGGTGATGCGCTTTCAACTGAAGCGATTATGACGCCCTTGGGGTAAGGCAGACAGTGTCAAACCAGTCACAATGCAAGTCAGTCAAATGGATATCCCGTGTAAACAAGCGCCGCCTGTTAAGGCACGTCAGCTTGAGATGTACACAAGCGATCAAATAATATTTAATTTAGGTCTAAGGGAATCTGAATGTCCTCGATGACTCCAGAACCCAATGCCGTGGGAACAATTGACTTGCGCATCCGTGAAGCGGACGAGACCGGTGGGCTATCGGCCGCTGTCCCGCTTTCACCGACGTACTCTGGTATGATTGGCCAATCCATCATGGCCCCACTCGGGGCCGAGTACCACGGCTCCGCGCCACATTGGGAACAACCGGCCCGGAGTTTGTCATGCTAGCAAGGAGTGCAGAAGTGTAATCGCAATGTGATGCTATCATGAGGTGCCATGGATGTTTTTGACTTGAAGAATGCTCACGACATGAACACAAGTCTTGCTGCAGGCGTGTGTGCGATGCTAGACCAGGCTACCCGGGGAAGCGCCGGATCTCGGGCTCGGCCGTTAACACTCAGATCTGGGGTTTCTTCAGCTAGAGGATCGCGCCGAGTGATAACACCTCATTATTGCGGAGAAGTAATAAGCTGAAAAAGATTCCGATAACCTTGTGTGAAACCTAACGGAGTTCTGGAGTACTCAAACTTCTCAAGGTACTAGAAAGCTCGCTGATGTAATGGAATCGCAAATGTGGCCAGAGCAGCTGGTCAACTAAGGTAGGTATGAATTGTGCTGTAAGCTGTTGGTGCAGCTAAAGATGTTGCCAGAAGGGAACTACTCTTGGTAGGATGTGGCTGAACGTGGCTGGCATAATCTATGCATGCATAACACATCCGCCACAACAAGATCACATCTCTCCAGCTTGTAGGGAACTAGAATGACTCTTCTCACTGTCGATACGTCTTCTTCCACGCTAGACATAAGCCAGTTGTTTATTCAAGAGTGGTGACTTGCTTGGTGGGTGGTAACGCGCACGCGTTGTCACACCAGTTGAACAACGATATGCAAAAACAATGCATTTCCAAAGCAAAACAACTGGTACCTCTTACTGGCCCATAAGCACGGACCCGCATTGGGACTAGCGTATCCCCGCCTCACCGTCCGAACTCAGCCATCCGCATCACAAATTGCCCCCTAGCCAACATAGACGCGTTTCTGACCACAACGATCATCTAATAAGATCAGGTAGAGTGGCCGAGTGGTAAAGGCGACAGATTTAGGTTTACATAAGCAGCCTCTCTGTTGGGAAACCGCGCGAGTTCGAATCTCGTCTCTATCATAATATTCTTTTGCCTTTTTGACATCTCAGCATATTACTCCCGACAGCAAAGCCATGTGGCCATTTCAACAACTGCGAGTCGGTTAGGATGAGACGTGAAACTGTCTATCGTCTCAGTGGTCACTGTCATATTGTTGCTCGCGCAAATCCCAGCAGATGAGTGCATGTCATACTTGGCTACTATAATGCATCAAGGTATCTACTCTGCAGTAAGTGCCAGCAACTCTTTCAGGTGTTCGCAACCTGGAGTTGCCCAAGAAGACGAAAGACTGGACTCCTCGTAGACGCGCCCCGTCGCTGCTTCGCGGCTTTTGTCGTAATATTGTCAGCTAAAGAGGCAACGCTTTCGTCTCTATCGTGGTAGGCATGCTGGTACGGCATGTTTGTTCCCAGCGAGGAAAAGCTACCGTCAGTGTAATTGCACGTAATTGCAAGAATGAAGTTGCCCATAGAGCCAATCCAGTCTCAGGACAGAAAATCTTACTCGGTGTACCTTGGTGATCCTCAATAGCCTCTCTCGACTCGATGGCTTACATTAGCTCGCAGCCTTCTCAGACAACAGTGCCTCCAGGCAATTCTTTTGCTCTTCTTCGAGTTCCTGGGTACATCCGGAGACGCTCGCATATGGTGTCTGCCTAATTCCGCATCAACATCCCACCACAAACAAAGGGTGCCTCTGCAAGAGGTTCCATGTTGCTGGGCATCTTCAAATAAATTATTTAGAGAATACATTTATAGAACCGATTAGACAGACTAGTTATAGTAATAGTGATAGCGATAGAGGTAGGGCGAAGGCAGTGCTAGAGGAAGCTGTAGTGGTAGTCATTGAAATAGAGGCTTGAGATGTGTTGACATATGGGCAATCCCATTGCATACTTCGAAGGAAACAACTGTTATGCTTGGAGGTAGACTGAACGTCAACTCAAAGATTAAACAAGCTAGTGTACGTCTGTGAGTCATGGCCACGGACTTTTAACAGTAAGCATCAGCTTCAGAAGCTCGAGGTTGCGAACGTGTGACATGGATGCCGTCGTGGCGTAATCACAGTGATGTATATAGCGAGAAGAACCTGCCCTTCGAGGATCTGCAAAGCAGTGGACCTCGATAACTGATACCTTCAATTACAGAACCTTTGTGGCTGAGAGAGAACTCTAACAATGCCCCGGCGACAGACCACCCTTCTCCAGCCAACTTCATGATCAGAGGCGATTCCTCCGAGCTCATGATACGAGGTATGCCCATTGCAATTACCACATCTTGCAAAGCTGAATCCTATCTAGGCCAATCCCGATGGCCAGTGAAGCCGATCAAGCATACTAGCACCAGTGTCTCTATTCTAATCCAAGTTCCCTTATCCCTCATGATCCATGGAGACTGACGCCAACGACTCTTATTGGTATAGGACAAGCTCCATCTTGAGCTTGTGCTGAAGCTTAGACTTGGGTAGTATAGCACACCTCAAACCAAAGTGCGAATACATCTGCATTATTCAGTCTTCACATCATACTCCCCGAGTATTCAACAACTCACATTGGAGTATACTCATCTCATGAACCCTCTCTCTTTTGTTCCTCGGGCTGTCACGGCCCTAGACGGCTCTCATCCGATCCCACATAGGCATCCAAGACGGAACAGCTCTAAACAAGCACCGTCCGTTGTAGTCGATGGCCGAGCGGTACGATTCTATCGTATGTTGGCTCACGGTCCTACATAATGCCATGGATAGCTTGTTTTTTTTTTTCCTACAGGGGCTAAGGGTTCGAGTCGAATTCCGTCGTCTTTTTTTCTCTCTTCTTTTTCTCTCCCATGATTCCGCAACCATCTGACCCTACTTGCCGCGCACCGAAAATTGTGGCACTGAAATTTCTTACCTGATGCTCTCTGTTATCAAAGATTCACGCGGTTGGATTTACGTCAACAGTGGTATGGTTCACAGTGTCAGATCCATACGCGCAGACACCGGCGCGATAGTATATAGATGCATTGATGGCTGCGATCTCTTGCTGGCAGCAATGACTTAGAGGCCTTTTGTCCCTTCTCTTGTTGGTGTAATTCTTGACGCGATCCCGACGCCAGTCTGGTCGGAGATGCAAGAAACTTCGCGTCTACCCATGTTCTGGTTCAATCTATCCCCAATTTTCTTCTTTGCATCACCCTCCAGTCTTTGAGTACACCGCTCGTATCAAACGAGGCTCTTCTCAGGATGACGGGTGAGGTGTGTTATGAATTTTGTAGCAGTAGGGGCAAGTCGGAGCAGGTAGCCCTCAGCAGGAACCATACATCAGCACCCATAATGTCCATGAACCAACTTCCAAACAACTTCCAGCTACCCATCACCGGATCGATGGAGTTCTTCCCTATTTCCCAGTCGCATATATAGGCATATCGAAGAGACATGCTTCATCGGACGACATCGGATATTGCCGGCCGTACGTATTCGCCAGCGCACCTCGTGGATACCCACCCAAGATGATTGACGCAAGAAAAGAATCACAGGATGCGTCAAAAATTTTCAAGGCTTCAAAAACTTTTCAATAACCCGTCTATGCATAGGTATCATCATCATGTACTTCTTTTTATCAATCCCTACCCGCCCACATTCCCTTCACTAGAATCCAAATACGTCATGCCATTCATCTGGTTTCCCCTCCTCGTGCACCACGTCCTATGAGCTCTTGCCCATGTTGGCGTCCAAAAGTTTGTCAAGATCAGCCATCTTCTTGGCCGCCTCCCTCTCCTCAGCCTCCTTGGCAGCCTCCTCCTCGTAGCCCTCGACCTTCATGTCATTCAGTCCAAGCTCCTCCTCCTCTTCGTGTGTACGATCGTAGTACTCGCGCTGGATAGATGGGTCAGGCGCGGGAGGGTCGACGAGCGGCTGGACGAAACTGCTAGCGAGGGGATCGGTGAGAATGACGGTGAACTCGCGAGTGCCGCCGATGGCTTCGTCGAGACCGTCAAAGAAGGCGGTCCACTTGGACTTCTCCGCAGGGTCGAGAGAGTCGCCACCGGATCCACCGTCGGCTTGGAAAATCTGGCTCTTGAGGTCGTCGCGGACCTGGGTCAGGAGACCCTCGATGGTGGTGAAGCGACCGCCGAGAGTGCCTGGGTTGACTGATAGGTTGAGCTCCGGGCACTCGAGCGCGCAGGTCTCAGACTTGAGGATATCGCGGGCAAGATCAATCTGGCCATTGACCTTGATGATGATCTTTTCTCCCTTTTCGGGGATCTCACCACCGGTCTTAACGTCGTTGGAGCGGTAGCCGCACTCGTCGCAGACGGTCGACATGAGGACGACCTGCTTGAAGTGGGGAATGTCAACCATCTTCATGTGTGTTGTGCATGAGTGCATGCAACCCGGACAGCTGGCGGGGAAACTATAAACTTCGTTGGGGATGATGTCGCCCTCGGCGGTCAAGCCCGGGTTGGCGGCGGCGGCCAGCTCGTCGGCCTGTGCGGCGGAGATGCCCAGAGCCTCGTTCTGCTCGGCGCTGCGGAGGTATTCGTGCTTCTCCCACTTGCCAACACCGTCCTTCAAATCGGGTGTGATGAAGGAGTTGCCGGCGGGGTCGTCGACGGTGACGCGGAAGGGGAAAGAGCTGCCATCGAGCATGGCGCGGCCCTTTTCGATGATCTCGGCAATTTTGGGGTAGACTTCGGGCATCTGCTCCTTGCGCGCTTCCTGTCCAAAGTCGAGATCGTTGATGATTGTGCTGAGGAGACCCTCCACATTTGTAAGCTGACCCTTGCCGGCGGGCACCTCGAGGTCGAGCTCGATGAACTTGACGGTCGCCGTGTCGGACTTGACAACCTGGCGCGCAAAGTCCTCCATAGCGGTCAGGCGGAGTTCGTAATGTGTGCCCTTGGGCTGGATGGAGCCTGCAGGCTGGACTTCGCTGTTGGCGAAGCCGCACTCTTCGCAGGCAAATGACATGATGATGATTTCGCGGAAGTAGGGAATCGAGGTCAGGAGCAGTCTGGTGTTTCCCTAAACGCTAAGTTAGTAAGACAAGCAAACGGTTGGGAGGCGGCGCATGCTCACATTCTTTCCGCAGTTCATGCAGAGAGACTCAATCTCCTCGACAACCTTCTGGTCATCGCCGCCATCGACCTTGGAGCCGATGGCCTCGAAGAACTCGTTGGGCGTCGTCTTGGAATCGGGGGCGGCCATGGCGAATGACTTGTTGTTGGTAGGTGTTTCTTGTGAACTGTCGTACTTCCTCTTCATTGCGCAACGACGTGGCCTCGTTGTCGGGTTTTTGTTATCGGAGTCGCGGGGGATCCAAGGTTGACTCGGTGGGATGGCGATGGCGGGGTCTTGAAATTTTTGGAGGGGCAATCGCAGCTGCAGGCCCTGCAGGCCGGGCACCGATGTGTGTCATTGAGCGGGTCCCCAGGTTCCTCCCAAGGCAGGAAACCTTCGAGAATATTCCCGAGGATAGCCCGCCCACTCGCTGGTTTGTCATGGCCGCCACCGATAGAGAACCGCGGAGCTGGACGCCGTATCTTAGCTAAGAGGCCGGGAGGTCTTGAGCTTGAGGAAGCGCATGCTAGACAGAGCCTTGATCAGCCCAGTCGTCCAAAGTCAGCAAGACTAAGATTCCTGGCCCCCAAGGACGAGGTCTTGGCTTGGCTCAGAAGAGCCTGCAATCCGGCCTTGCGGTTTTTCGCACGCTTCTTGCTGCTGGAGTTGGACGTGGCCGGTTTAGCTGCCTCGGCCACGGTGGCTTGTTGCGTCTTTGCCGCCGACCGTTGCTCAATTTTGGCCCGGCGTCTCATGGCCGGTGGCGGCGAAGGGAACGAAATCTTGGTGGTGCTGCTGCACTTTCCACAGCTGAAAAGCTTTCGCGTGCCAGACTGCGGCTGGTGTTCGAGCTTCGTCTTTGATGCTTGAGTCTTGACACTGCGTCTCTTCCTCTTCAGCGCCTTTTCGGTCTCGAGCTTGAGCGTAGTGCCCTGACCGGGAACCATGATGTGACCGCAGGCGCCGCAGACGTGTTGTC